ATACAGCAAAAAAAAAAAAAAAAGCAATCATCTTCAGGCAGATACTTAACAAAGTGTAATGAACAAGCACAGACGAGATCACTACGCATCAAACTAAACTGCCAAAATAAGTGAGAAACAGAGCTTTTGCAGGGTTCTCTGAAGCAACAGCAAACAAATACAAAGCCCTGCTCCATCTTACGTGAGAGTTAAGCCGTAATTTTGGTAGTCCCTGTTTGGTGCAAATGAAAAACTTTGAGTGTCAGCAGCATTGCAAAAACAGCTATGTTGGAAGAGTGATTTGAAATTTTAAGTGTTACACCTCATTTCCCTGCGAAATGAGCACGTGATTTTGATTGTGTGGACATGAGATAGAAATTTGACCTTTAGACACCAACCCATGGAGCACTGATGGATTTAAACACCTTTATTACCCACCATGTCCACTGACTCATGCAAAAAAAAAAAAAAATACTGGAAAACCCAGAGACTGATATTTGTATGACATACCCCCACATACCTCCCACCTAGATGAAATACTTACATTTCCATGTTTTAAGGAGACAAACTGTTTAAAATATTTTTGCTACTCATTCTCCATATTGGTTTCCTATCTCTGCTTTTAAAGTGAGCACCTTTTCTGAGGTGTGTGGGTATTCTTATCAATTTTTTTATTAATATTTACTTCATCTTTTTGTGTTGATCAAATATATAGAATTGCATTGTATGTTTTTAAAAATCAGATTGAATGGTATCATACTGCATGCATTCCCCTGAAATTAATTAGTACGTTTTTGAGATTCACCTGTGTTAATATAAGTAAATCTAGTTAATCATTTTAATTCCTTTCTGGAGTGACTAACCACTATTTATGATTATTACTTTACTATAAGCATTTAGGTTACTGTTATTACAAAAAATGCCAAGGAAATGTTCCCAAACGGATCTCATTCTCTGTTCCTAAGTCACTCAAGGAGTACACCCACCTTGGATTACCAGATGTCAGGGTATGTGCACGTTCAACTACACCAGTTATTGGCAAATTGCTCTGTGAAACAGCTATTCTAGCTGTAGCTCTCAACAGCAGTATTGAAAGTTCTGTTTTCTTCACATTCTCTCTAAACCTTGTTAGAAACTGAAATCGTTATCTGTGGTGGAAGTGAAATGGCATCTCATTACTGTTTTACTTTGTACTTACCTGATAGCAAATAAACTGAACACTTCTCATGTATTTATGGATCATTCGGACTTCTATTTCTCTGAACTGCCTATGCATATTCTTGGCCATTGTTGGCATCTGAAGAATGAACTATTGGACGAGAGATCTCTATCTCTGCTTCTCTCTCTCTCTCCCAAAATAAACAAACAAACAAATAAATATTAAACTGTGCAACTCACTGGTATAGTTACAGTATATGACTGCACGTTATAATCACAGAATTGTGCAACCACCACAACCATTTTAAAAATAAGAATTTTATTAATTTCCAAATAAGACTCAAATTTATTAATCCTTTTCTTATAGTTTTAGCTTTTTGTGTCTTAAGAAATCCTGCCCATACCTCATACCCACTAGAATTGCTACTTCAAAAAAATTAAAATAATGAATGTTGGCATGTAGAGCAAATGGAACCCTTGAGCACTCATGGTGAGAATTCTAAGTGTTGTAGCCACTGTGGAAAATACAATAGAATTACAGCCAAGGCTAGGTTAGGCCATTATTAGGGTAGCTGATTCCAGGTAAAAGAGAGAGTTTGGCCCAATTTCCTCTCTCTGTCTTGTTTGTATTCTTTTGTCCTTAAAATTTTTTTGACTAGATCGTCTATGAAAATCTTAAGAAGAGTTTATAAAGGTTAACACAATAATCTTGTTTGGATGTTGATTTGTATTCTATTCACCTGGGTTATACTGCAAAGTTTGTGGTGTTGAATTTCTTATTCAGGGGCATGATTCCTCTCTCCATGTATTAAAGATGTCTTGAACATCTTTCCACAAAGTTTTATAAATTTCTTCAAATAGATCTTGGATATCTTTTGTTATATTTGTTTCTAACCTAATTGTTTTGTTGCTGTTGTGAATGACAGCCTTCTTTGTGATAGTATTCTTATTGAGTGATTCAAGTTTATAAGAAAACTATTGATTTTGGTAGAGTTGCTTTGTAGAGAACCTTCTTGAGCTTTTTTTTTAGTGGTCTTATTTTGTGAGAAGGTTCTAAGAAAATTTCCATGTATTATATAAATGATGGCGATGAAACTATTTTTCCTTCCCAACCCTTATTGTTTTACTTTCTTCCCTTGAGCACTAGCACCCTGTCTAGTACAGTGGTACTCAGAAGGTGGCAAGAGATCTTCTATCTGCTGCTTCTATCACCAAATGCCTACAAGAGTCAGGGCTGAGCTAAGTTGAAGTCAGGAGCCCAGTACTTAACTCTGGTCTCCCATGTGGTAGGTAGAGACATAAATATTTAAGCCACTACCTGCTGTCTCCCAGGATGCACATTAGCAGGTACTTGGATCAGAAGCAGAGGAACTGAGACTTGAACCAGGCACTCTGTTATGGGATACACGTGTTCCAAGTGGGGACTCAGCAGCTACAACAAAAGCTTGCACCTATAATTATTAAAAGTCAGCTTAGGCCTGAAGAGGGGAACATGTCTCAAGGACTAGTCTGATCAACCTCTGTTAACAATGTGGCTTCCTCCAACTGATTCACTGTTTTTGTTTACCCGTCTATAACAAAGATATCTACTGATGAAGTCACGTATTCAATCCATGACCACAGAATCTTTAAAGGAATCTGCTTTATTCTACTTGCAGAGATATTTTAGTGAGCCTCAGGGTCAGATCTCAATTTGCATTTGATTCCCAGGCTATCAAATTCTAAGCGTCATATCTACACTGGAGAGCTTGTAGCCACACAGATGTATCTGTTGGAGTTGAAGGATAATATATATATATATTTTAAAGATTTACTTATTTATTTGAAAGTCAAAGATACACAGGGAGAGGAGAGGCAGAGAGAGAGAGAGGTCTTCCATCTCTTGGTTCACTCCCCAGTTGGCCGCAACAGCCAGAGCTGCACCAATCCGAAGCCAGGAGCCAGGAGCTTCTTCCAGGTCTCTCACATGGGTGCAGGAGCCCAAGGACTTGGGCCATCTTCTACTGCTTTTCCAGGCCATAGCAGAGAGCTGGATTGGAAGTGGAGCAGCCAGGTTTTGAACCGGCGCTCATATGGGATGCTGGCGCTTCAGGCCAGGACATTAACCTGCTTCGTCACAGCGCCAGCCCCAAAAGATAATATTTTTAGCTGAGAGTTCTTTTGAGGCATTTTTTGCTAATGGAGTTTTTTTTTTTTAATAAAATATTTGAGAGATAGAGTTATAAACAGAGAGCAGGAGAGAAAGAAAGGTCTTCCATCTGCTGGTTCACTCCCCAAATGGCTGCAAAAGCCAGAGCTGGGTCAATCTGAAGCCAGGAGCCAGGAGATTCTGGGTCTCCCATGCAGATGCAGGGGCCCAAGGACTTGGGCCATCTTCCACTGCTTTCCCAGGCCATCAGTAGGGAGCTGGATTGCAAGTGGAGCAGCTGGGATTCGAACTGGATCCCATATGGGTTGCTGGTGCCACAGGCAGAGGCTTAGTCTATGAAGTCACAGCGCCAGCCCACTAATGTGGCTTTAACATTGACTTTCACTGGTGTCTGTTTGAGTATACACATTCTTCAAGATGCATATATTGCAATAGTATATGCATCATAGAGTACTTTGTATATATTCAGCTTGCTTCCAGTGTGCACGTGATGGTTTCCATTCATTTTCTGATAGTATTTGACAAGGTCAATCAAACTCAAATGCAGTGCCAGAGAATTCAAGCCAAGTCTCAGGAGTCTTCCTGAAGCAATTTTCTATCACTATGGTTTTCTGGGATGTTGAAATGCAGATCCTGTAGTTCTTATCATTAGGACAGGACATGAAACTTTTGGACTTCAATATTTTTACCTTAAAATATTATGATCTTTTATTTTGCTAGAGCTCTGGAGAAGTGTCTGTTTAATGAGTAGTTTTATGAAATTTTTCATATAAAATTAAGTATCTTTTAAACATTGGCGTATATTGAATATATTCCCCATGCATAAAGACAATATGTATATGTGTTATAGTTTGGGTATTACTTTGTTCCCCAAATGCCCGTATGTTAAAGGCAGTGGTTCCCAAGTATTATGTTATTGATTAATAGAGTAATGTGGGTGGGTCCTTAGGTTATGGGGCCGAGCACTTGGAAGGTATTTCTTGTGAAAAGAGTTGGTTATAAAAACCTATGAGTTGGGCCCAGTTGCTCTGTTTCTTGGCTCACCATGTAATCCTCCTTGTGCCCATGCTCTTCAAACCACCATTGCCACCCTTATCAGATGTCAAACTATTAGGTGTGGCCTATCTTGGACTGTGCACCTCCAAAACTGTAGGCTGAAATAAACCTCCATCCTTCACAAGCAGCTGCTCTCAGATACTTGCTATAGTCACAAATATCTGGTGAATATAGCAATTATTTTAAAAAGTGTTTTTTTGTTTTGAAAATGGAACTTTAGCATTTTGGTACTAAAAGGGTTTTAAGGTCCTATTTTAATAGGACATCTGCAAATTATTATTAAAGCATATTTAAAGTTTGAAGCAACACATCAAATTCACTTATAAATGAGAAAATGGTCATTAGAGTAGGAGTCCTGAGCTTTGCCCTCCTTCTGCTTTTTTCCCTTAATTATGGAAATATCTCTTTATCCATTGTGTTTCTTGGTGCGCACTTCTCTCCCCTGTGTTTTTGAAAAGTGTGAACCAATATATCTTTGTCCCTTAGATTACTTTTTGTTCAATAACAATGAAAGTTCAGAGGTTGGCTTTGGATGACTTCATGAAGTACAAATTTTGAGATAATGTTGTTTCTTGTTTATATAGAGTCAGCTATGTCTGAATATGTTTTTACCACTCAGAGATCAGATGAAATAACTATTTCACAGTATTAACCATGATTGAAACAGTAAAAGCTATTTATTCAGCAAATAGCTGGGGGACTTTCTTTAGTTTAAAAAATATATTTAGATATTGACTTTTGAGAAGATGGAGTAGACATACATTTTCCTATTCCCCTGCTAAGTACCCATACATACTTTGGACACTCTACATAAAACAATATAAAATTAAGACTCTGAATGGTAGAGAGAAGCAGCCAGGTCAGTCAGGGATCTCCAGATCTGGAAATAACATGACGACGAGTGTCCTGGGTTTTCTGTCTCGTATTTCTTAGACTTCAAGCTGAGGTATAGAATCCAGCAACCTGGAAACACCAAAAGGCTCAGGTCAAAAAATGAAAAAAAGCCTCTTTCCCAAACCCCAATGAAGGCTTATCTCCTTAACCAAAGGCCCAGGAAAGGGACAATGGGGGAAGGAAACATTTAGTCCATTACCGTTCCACTCCAGACAATCAACACCATGGAGAACTCTAAGCTCCATTACACCACGATATAGGAAAGGCTCAGTGGGGAGCTGAGACTTCTCCCCTCCAGAGGCTCAAGGAAGCTCCCCAACACCCATGCCAATGGTGGTTTCACAATAAATTAATGGGGGGAGGCAAGACTTACATCTTGTTAGCAGTGGTCAACTGCATCCAACTCTAAGGTGTCAGTGAGTTGTGTGTGGAAAGCCTAGAATTTCACCCTTAACTAGAAGTAAGGATTACTCTACCCTGTCCCCACTGGTTAGTATCAGAGGAATATCAGTAGAAAGCCAGTACTTTCACAGTATGTAACGGTATTAAGATTACCACCACCATTGTGGCAGTGAAGATTCTGTGAAGAGCATGAGCTACTCTTCTTGCGTGTCAAGTGAGGACAAATGGAGAATCTGGACTTCTTTGTCTATCTAGTAGTTATAAGGTAGTCATTTCCTTGCCCTGTTGGAGTGGTGTCAGAGAAAGCTGGCTAAAATGCAAGGTCGAAAAAAGAACCAGCATCCCAAAAAATAATAAAAAAAAAGGTCAGGTTTCAGTAGAAAATCACTTGTGTTACCAAAAATGAGGAACATCTGAAACTGAATGAAAAAAGAATATCAACAGATGTCAACATGAAGGTGACAGAGATTTTAGATTCTGAAAAAGAAATTTAAATAGCAATGATAAAAATAGTTCAATGAGTAACTATGAAAACACTTGAAACAAAATAAAAAAAAGTCTTATAAAATATGTGAATTTGCAAGGGCTACTATAAAACTGTATCATGAACTGAGTGGCTTAACCAACAGTAATTTACTCACAGTTCTAAGAAGTCCAAGATCAAAGTGTCATTCTGGTTAATTCCTTTGGAGGATTTTGAGGGAGAATCTGTTCTGGGTCCCCTCTATTTAGCTTTGGTAGTTTTCTGGCATCCTTTTATTTGTGAACACACTCTCCTGACTTTTGCCTTCATGTTCATATGGTGTTCTCCAGGTGTGTTTTTCTGTGTCCAAACTTCATCTTTTTTCAAAATGTTTAATTTATTTGAGAGGCAGCACACATACACACACGTACACACACACACACACACACACACACAGATCATACATTCACTGGTTCACTCTCCAAAAACTCAAAAAAGCCAAGGCTGGGTTAGGCCATTATTAGGGGAGCTGATTCCAGGTAAAAGAGAGAGTTGGCCCAATTTCCTCTCTCTGTCTTGTTTGTATTCTTTTGTCCTTCTGCTACATTATGAGACAGTACAAAGGATCTAGCAACACTCTAGTGCCATGCTCTTGAACTTTTTACCACAATCGCAAGCTAAATAAAATTCCGTTATTTATAATTTATCCAGTCTGATATTATGCTATAGCAGCAGGAAATGGACTAAGACAGGGACTTGCCCTACTCCTATGATTCCATCTTAACTAATTACATTTGGTATACCTTTGATGCCAAATAAGTCACATTCTAGCATATTATGGGTTAGGATTTTTTTTAAAAGATTTTTTTTTTTATTTGAAAGGCAGAGAGAGAGAGAGAAAGAGCAAGTGAGCTATCTTCCCTCAAATGGCCACAGAAACAGGACTGGGCTAGGCTGAAGCCAGGAGCCTGAAACTCCACTTGGTCTCCAATGTGGATGGCAGAGGCCCAAGTACTTGGAAAATCTTCCACTGCTTTCCTACATGCATTAGAAGGGAGCTGAGTAAGAAGTGGAGCAATCAGTACTAGAATTGGTGCTTATATGGGATGCCAGTGTCACAAATGGCTGCTTAATTGATGGTGCCATGATTCTGGCCCCTAGCAACAGGACTTTAAATGTTTGAATTTTAGAAGGACAAAATTTCAATCTGTAATGTCAGGAAAATAGAAAAGTTTAGTAAATATATAGAAGATATGAAGAAGAAAAACCAAATGAAAATTTTGTGACTAAAAAATATACTAACTAAAATAAAAATTTCAGTGGATGGGCTCAACAGCCAATTGGAAGGACAGACAAAATAACCAGTGACCTGGAAGATAGGATAATAGGAATCACCCAATCTAAACATCAGAAACAAAATAGAAAAAAAAGAATAAACAGAGCTTCAGTGCCTTTTGGGACTATAGCAAAAGATCTAACAGTGATGTCACTGGAGTACCAGAAAAGGAGGTAAAAGAGGGTAAAGGCTAAATATTTCCTGAATTTGCCATGAGATGGAGATTCATATTCAAAATGCTGAGTGTGCCCCAGATGGGATAAATCCAAAGAAATGTACATCACAACACATTACAATTAAAAATACATGTCAAAAAAACTAAAGACCAAGTGTTAAAAGTAACGAGAGTAATTCAGGAAAAAAAAATCCAAGTTACACAGAATTTCTCATCAGATACCATGAATGCCAGAAAAAAAGTAGCATAATATTATTTTTTTATTTTTATTTTTATTTTTATTTTTTACATGCAGAGTAAACAGTGAGAGAGAGAGAGACAGAGAGAAAGGTCTTCCTTTACCGTTGGTTCACCCTCCAATGGCCGCCGCGGCCGGCGCACCGCGCTGATCCAAAGGCAGGATCCAGGTGCCTCTCCTGGTCTCCCATGGGGTGCAGGGCCCAAGCACTTGGGCCATCCTCCACTGCATTCCTGGGCCACAGCAGAGAGCTGGCCTGGAAGAGGGGCAACCGGGACAAAATCTGGCGCCCCGACTGGGACTAGAATCCGGTGTGCCGGCGGCACAAGGCAGAGGATTAGCCTGTTGAGCCGCGGTGCCGGCCAGCATAATATTCTTTAAGTGATGAAAGAAAATCCCGGACAATGTAGAGTCCTAAAAACAGTTAATATACCCCTTTGAAATGAAGGGGAAATCAGGACTTTGAAAAACAAAGGTAAAGAAGGACAATTTATTGCCAGTCTATCTACTTTGAAGCATGGCCCAAGGAAGGAAATGACAAAAAAGAAAGATAAATGAAGGAACTCTGGAACATTAAAAAGGAATGAAAAGCAATATAAGCTAAAATATGAATAAATACAATAGATTTCCTTCACCGCTAATCTAAATACGTTGGATAGTTGAAATGAAATACTGCATGATCTGGTTCTAAATATGTGAGTATGGAAGAAATGCTTTACAAATGTATTAAAGGGGGCTGGTGCAGTGGTGTAGCGGGTAAAGATGCCGCTTGCAGTGCCGCCATCCCTATGAGTGCAGGTTCGAGCCCCGGCTGCTCCACTTCAAATCCAGCTCTCTGTTATGGCCTGGAAAAGCAGTAGAAGATGGCCCAAGTCCTTGGGCCCCTGCACCCATGTGAGAGAACCAGAAGAAGCTTCTGGCTCCTGTCTTTGGGTTGGCGCAGCTCTGGCTGTTGTGGCCAATTGGGGAGTGAACTAGCGGATGGAAGACCTCTCCTCTCTCTGCTTCTCCTTCTCTCTCTGTGTAACTCTGATTTTCAAATAAATAAATAAATAAATCTTTTAAAAAATGTATTAAGGGTGAAAAAGGGTAAAGGGACATATAAGGAGGTGAGATTTCTATACTTCATTTGAACTGTTAAATAATGACATTACATTTTACCATACAGTATATGTGTCACAGCAAAGTTTTTTGTAGTATTACAGGAGATTATTCCAAAATTTATGTGGAAAGATTAAGGTAAAACTATGGAAAAAAAAGAACAAAATGTGATGAATCAGTCTACTTGATATCAAGATTTATTATATGGCTGTAGTCATCAGTGCAGAAATGTAGACAAATGGAACAGAATAAACCAGGAATAGACCCACACAAATATGCCTTACTGATTTTTTGCATAGGTGCAAAAGTAACTAAATGGAGGAAAGATAACTTTTTAGTGAAAGGGGTGTCTATCAACTTGACATTCACATGCCCCCCCTTTCCTTACCCCAACTCCCAAAATAAACCTTGAACTCAGTTTCATACTTTATACCAAAGTCTTCTCAAGTGAATCACAGACTTAAATGTTAAACATAAAACTTAGAAAATGTCATGAGAGAAAATACTGAGATCCAGCAATAGATAAATATTTCTTAGATTTGACATTCAAAGCACAATCTATAAAAAAAAGAACTTGTAACTTTGTCTTCATCCAAATTAAAATCCTTTCTTTGAAAGGCCTTGCTATAATGATAAAAAGTCAAGTATGAACTGGGAAAAAAATTTGCAAACCATATAGCTACAAAAGAGTAGTATCTAGAATGCATGAGAACTTTGAAAATTCAGCAGTAAAGAAATCAATGGGCCAGCTCCATGGCTCACTTGGTTAATCCTCCACCTGCGGCACCGGCATCCCATATGGGCGTCAGGTTCTAGTCTTGGTTGCTCGTCTTCCAGTCCTCAGCTCTCTGCTGTGGCCCAGGAGGGCAGTGGAGGATGGCCCAAGTGTTTGGGCCCCTGCACCCGCACAGGAGACTAGGAAGAAGCACCTGGCTCCTGACTTCTGATCAGCACAGTGCCGGCCATAGCAGCCACTTGGGGGAATGAACCAATGGAAGGAAGACCTTTCTCTGTCTGTCTCTCTCACTGTCTAACTCTATCTGTAAAATAAATAAAATAAAAATAAAATTATAAAAAAAGGAAATCAAGCAATATAACTAGAAAATAGGCAAAAGAAATGGAAAACAACTCAAAGAAGAGAAAAACATAGCAAATAAGCAATTGAAAAGATGTTTAAGAGCATTAGCCATGGGCAGATCAAAATTAAAAGAGAAATAATAGTACATACAAATATATCAGAAGGCTATAATAAAATATTGACAACACAAAATGCTGGCAAGGACAAGGAAACACTGGATCACTCCTGTGTTGCTAGGACATGAAGACACATAAGTTTACATAAAAGCTATGCATG